TTGAGATGTGATATCTTCCGATCGAATTAATCGTTTTTGATGGCACTTGTAGCATTCAATGCAGTTGTTAAGCATAAAAAAAATTATTCATTACCTACCAAACGATTCGACGCAAAATATTGAAGTTATTTTGATAAAACACTTTTTTGTAAATTAAAAAAATTAAATATTTGACGAATGAATTGACCGATTTTGACGAGATTGGCAGTGTTTGACGCTGCTTTTTGAGCACTTATAGTTACTTTATTATATGTGAAACTATCCGAGAAGAAATTTCAAAGTTATTTGAAAAGAAAAACACTTTTTTCAAAATTTTTCGTCAACGACATTTCACGGACAGATGAATCGATTTTAATTTCTAAAATAGTATTCGATATCATTTTTTTAGGTTAAAAGCTGATTAATTTATGAAATTGATCGATCGAGCCGCTCAAAAGTTATTTTGAAAAAACATGATTTCAAAAACCTTTTTTATTTCGGTTTGTTTTTTTTTATTTTCTCAAAACCCAGGGCGCCAAATTGGTTCATAGTTATCAGGAAGTCTGTTTCGTTGAACCGTATCGAATAACGCCAATATAGGACCTCGAAATGTTGAAATCTGGTAAGAACTCGAAATTACTTCATAATCGATAAATAAATATTTGTCAGAATACAATATCGATAATGTAATTCAATATCGAAGATTAATGAACAATCCCAGATAGCCAAAAGTCAGCAATAGGCTGGCAAGTTGTCAGCATACCTGGCCTGAAAGAGGCAATATGTGCTGGCAATACCGTAGGCATCTGCGGCCGCATTTGCTAGCAAAATGCAGGTTAAGGTAGTTTTCCAATTACGAGAGCACAATGCGACTCATTGCCGCACGGTGCCGCATTAGCACAAGTTTAATTGAAACAGATTAGTTAAGAAATGCAGCAGTAGATCGCGTTGGTATTGCTTCGTTTTGAACAAAAATTCGAAAGTTTGGCAATCTAAAAATCTAAATATTTGTTTACCTGTATATTTAAATCTTTAAAATCTTTGAAAACATTCATGTTAAACAGCTAATTCAAAATCATATCATGACAATGCTTACAAATATAAAAATCTAAAAAATGATTTCATTTTATAAAGATAAAAGAATAGAAAGAATATAAATTCGCTTAAGTTAGTCATCAATAATTAAATATTAGATATAAAAATATGATAGTTAAATATAATTTGTGTTATTGTATATATTTAATTTTATTGCAATAATAATTATTTATCAACAATAATAAAATACACTTACAATCGTCAAAAATAATAACTTTGATAGATAATAAGATAAACATTAATTATACCAACTCATTACAAAAAAAATACTTTTAATTTTATGTAGACTCGTTGGTAACTCTCACGCATAACATCCCTGAGCAAAGGTTTTTTGAGTGTCCAACTGTGCGAAGCGTTGCTGTTATTGGAACACTCTAAGCTGCGCACAATGCCGCATTATGCGCTCTAGTGCTGTAGTTGGAAAACTAAGATAAGTTTGTTCAGCATAGCCTGCTGCCGTTGTGCCTACATTTCATGCTCGTGCAACGGTGGCGGAATATTACAAGCAAAGTGTAAGCATGATCTGCGTGGCAAAATACGCTATCATCAAGCAGACATTTCATGCTAGCATACTGCCCGCAAAATAAAGAAACAGATTGGCTAAAATTTATCTTACTATTTAGGTATGTTAATATTCTAAATAATTATTATAATTTAAAATTCAAATTTTGAGTTTTTTTTATTCTAATTTTAATCGGAGTAGGAATAACATAAAAAAAATAAATCAAAATTTTTTAATTAAATATTTTTTATTATTTAATAAAAAATTAAACGTACGTACATATTTTCACATTGAATTCCTATTATTATTACAATATTCAAAATATATTTTAATTTTTTTATCACAATGCATAATTTGATTAACGTCAATTAAATTTTTTTTTTATGTTTCATCTATTAGTCCATCGGCTGAAGAGGGAAGCCCGTGTACATTTTATGTCCATGGAGAATTCCAACGAATTCCTGTGTAATTTGGGTCGAGGATTACGAATATCGCATTTAATTTTATGTATTTTTCTGTGCCTGTTGTTCGTCGCTAGAGTCCGTGGGATGCGTGCGCGCGACAGAGAGGTTCGACCGCTACTTGTTGTTTTTTGCGATATCTCCGAAAATATTCATTTTATCAAAAAAATGATAAGAACATATTTTGTTGGTTTTTCAATTTTAAAACTTTATTTTCAAATAAACTTCCCCGTCAAATCAGCCGTTCCTGAATTATACCGGTTTAAACAATTAAATTGTTAATAACAATTGTTTGCACCATTTTCTATCAAATTAAATGCGATATTCGTAATCCTCGACCCAAATTACACAAGAATTCGTTGGAATTTTCCATGGACATAAAATGTACACGGGCTTCCCTCTTCAGCCGATGGACTAATAGATGAAACATAAAAAAAAAATTTAATTGACGTTAATCAAATTATGCATTGTGATAAAAAGATAAAAATATGTTTTTAATATTGTAATAATAATAGGAATTCAATGTGAAAATATGTACGTACGTTTAATTTTTTATTAAATAATAAAAAATATTTAATTAAAAAATTTTGATTTATTTTTTTTATGTTATTCCTACTCCGATTAAAATTAGAATAAAAAAAACTCGAAATTTGAATTTTAAATTATAATAATTATTTAGAATATTAACATACCTAAATAGTAAGATAAATTTTAGCCAATCTGTTTCTTTATTTTGCGGGCAGTATGCTAGCATGAAATGTCTGCTTGATGATAGCGTATTTTGCCACGCAGATCATGCTTACACTTTGCTTGTTATATTCCGCCACCGTTGCACGAGCATGAAATGTAGGCACAACGGCAGCAGGCTATGCTGAACAAACTTATACCTGCATTTTGCTAGCAAATGCGGCCGCAGATGCCTACGGTATTGCCAGCATGTTTGGCTATCTGGGATAATTTTGTGAGAAAAATCATGTTAATATTTAAAATAATGCTTTAATCAACAATTGGTGTTGTAAATTATTCAATGTACTTAATATAATTGAATCGTTTATTTAAGAAACCCCATAAGTCATATTTTTTTCGAAACTGGGTTTATTGCATTTTTCGGTTTTTTTGAATTTCCCCTCATGTATACCAGCACCAAAAAATATTAAATCCGTGTTAAAAAACCTAACCAATCGGTCCATACAAATCTCGTTTTGTTGAGAAATCCCATAACCATAAGTCAGTGACTTATGGAGTTTTTTGAATAAACATTCAATTTAAAAATTCCAAAAATTAGATTCTTTTTGTTTTTTTCCAAAAAAACTTTTTCTGAGTAGAAAAAATTCAGTTCAATGCAAAATACTTGAATTTTAATAATTTTTGCAGTATTAGTTTGACAAAGTTAAATTAACCCTCGGAGTATACTAGGGGTCATTTTGACCCCAGAATTTTTTTTATCCTCAAATATTTCTCGAAAATAGGTTTGTTTTTAATTAATTTTTTCAATATTAAAAACTATTTAATTCAAAATAGTTGACTCTGATTTCACTGATTTAAATTCTCAAATTAATGGTTACCATGAAACTGATAAAAACTCGATTTTTGCAAAACGGGATAAAACCAATAATTTCCTGATTTTTTTAAATCTTCGATTTTCTTAGTGGGAAGTTAAAAGTTTATCCGTCTCGTAATGGTAATTATTGTCGGTAGTGATTATAGAAAAAATGTACAAGGAAGGGAGGATCAAAACGGGATAGGAAGAGGTTAAATTTAGTGAAAAACATTTTTTTCTGCAACATATTATTTGCACAATTAAAAATAAATTTAATTTTTATCATCAATTTTAAGTGCATGAGATATTGAAATACTTATAATTCTCTATTAAAAAAATCATTTTTTAACAACATTTTTAGACGAGTAAATTTTTTTGCTTGACTCAAGATAATCAGTTTTTTCAAAATGACTTTCTTGGTACACGATTTTTTTCTTGAGTTTTTCTTGAACTTTTCTACCATCAGTGTAAAAGAATTCGATACCATAAAATTTTTTCTTTAGTTGAAAAAATTTTCGTAGTTCAAGAAAATGTTTGCTTTGTCTTAAATAATTTTAGTCATCATATCATGAATATTCTCTTAAAACAAGGATAATAATATAACTGGAAGTTCAGTATTTTGCTTGCATCTTCTTTGAACTTGACGTTAGTATTCGTCTATAAAACAAGTATGTTGAGGTTGGTAAAGATCCGTATTAATAAACTTTTCTTAAATGAACCGTTTTGCCTCTCCCCTCCTCTAATTAATGTCATATAGAAATTTATGTTTTAAATAAATCTACATGTGTCTAAAATTTAATGGGTTTTTCTATTCTGAGAGAAAAAAATATTACTATTAAGAAAATTTTTTTTACACAAGAACATTAATTTTTGTTAATTATTGAGAATATATTTTCTTGTCTGAAGAAAATATATTCTCTGAAGAAAATATCGTCTGAAGAAAAAATTTCCTCAAAAATATTAAACATTGGTAGAAAAATTTACCTTAGTAGATTAAAAATTTTCGAGTTAAAAAATTATTCGATATTTGAAAGCAACGATTTTTGAGATTTTATTTTATTTACAGGATTTTCCTTATACGTTTTTTTTAAATTTTTTTTTTGTTTTTTTTCATCACTACTTATTAACTAAAATAATAAGTAACTTTAGGTCGTCAGTCTGATATCAATCAATGAAGCCACAAAGATGTATAATATCGATGCTGATCTCAATTTCTCCAATAGTTAATAAGTGAAATTAGCTAGCGGCTGGGGAATACGTTACACCGCGGAGCAATAGTAACCGCTGAGAACGAAGGAAGCCGAACAGAAACAGACTAAGTGTACATCGTATAAGGTATACTGTTTGGTGGGAGGAAGAATCAGTTTGAAAGTGTGAGCCGCGAGAGACGAACACAATCTTTTGACGTCTTTTTTTATCCATCATGAGTAGATCGTGGATATGTGACTCGGTATTTATAATCTTATTAATCATTCAAACTGGTAAGACAAATCATCAATCGATAAGTTAATCCGTCGATGCATATTTTGACTATACTCTATCAATTTAAATCATGCGTGACTCTATTTATTTTTTTATTTCCATAATAAATTGATTTAGAATCTTTTGAATTTATCTCATAAGGGAAAGGTCCAGCAGCACCGGAAGTTTCACTTCCTTTCTTATACACAAGTGAAAATATAAATTCCATGTGCAAAACGTTTCTCTCGTGATCTTTTGTTCCGCATGTTTCATATAATAATATTATATTATTGTATCAAGTTATCTTTATTTTGTTTTTTTCCTTCATAACCATAATCAATTATTATATTTATTTAAATAATTTTCCCGCCTGTTTCATTTGAAAAGTGTACAAATAATTTGAAACCGTGTAGTCAATATGTAATTTATATAATCAATCGATTACTTTCTCTACCTGTTATTTATAATTAAAAATTTTTTTTTCCCAGCTCACGGGTCATCCATCAAGGCACCGTGTATTGAGGACAGTAAATTTTATAGAAATCCAAATACATTAGCTCACAATGTATGGTCACCAAATGAATGTGCCAAATATTATTTATGTTTAGGTAAATATTTAATTATATATAAAATTGTAACCGTTTAACAAAAAATCAGTTACCAATAGTTGGAAAAATAAAAAATTTCATGACAAAGTTCAATTTTATAAATTATAATTAAAACTATTTTTATGCTGTTACAAAACTAATACTTTCTTCGTAATAATTTTTTTTCGGTATCATTATACGTGTTTTAAGTGCAGAAAATTTCTCACAATTGTTTGTCAAAAAACTTTCTCAGCATACTACTATATATATGTATATATTTATAAAATCACTATTCAATACAATGAAGAATTATACGCAATCTAATTTATTACAGACAATGAGGTATTTGAGTTTAAATGCTCAGAGGGTCTTCTGTTTGATATCACCAGGCAGATATGCGACTTCAAAGCTAATGTAGAAAACTGCGACGTAACATCAGGTATTTACCGTTGTTTGGTTTAATTTAATTAAGCTTTCGTTCACAATCGAAGCTTTTGAATGGTTCATCTATAGTAACAAAAATTAATTAATTAAAATTTAATCAAAATTTCTCCAGAGCGCCTACCACCTAAGCCATTATTAGAAAAAGGTGATTGTAAAGACGGCACACTAGCTTGTGGAGACGGTACTTGTCTTCCTAGTTCTTATTTTTGCGATGGAAGTGTCGACTGTATTGACGGTTCCGATGAGGGCTGGTGTGGTAAATTTTTTTCTTCTATAATTTTTATTGCATAAATAGAACAGTTGTATCATGTTTTTTATTTAAAAAAATTCTAAATAATTTTTTTTTTAGATGGACGTCCTGATAAAAATTCAGCGACAAATTGCAATCCTCAAAAATGTCATTTACCAGAATGCTGGTGTTCTCACGACGGAAAACAGATACCAAATAATTTAACTCATACCGAAGTGCCACAAATGATAATGATAACATTTAATGACGCCGTTAATTCAGAAAATTTTGATTTCTACAATAGTAAGTTTAATCGATGCTCATCTTTTTTTGATTGGCTATTCCGTTCATTTCATTTTTTATATCGTTTTTAGAGTTTTTTAATGACAAACGAAAAAATCCGAATGGATGTCCCATACGGGGAACATTCTACGTAAGCCATCAGTACACTAATTACAAAGATGTTCAGTATCTTTGGAATAAAGGTCACGAAATAGCTGCTCATTCAGTAACGTAAGTGTATCTTCATTAATAAATTCCGGGGAAAAAAATATTTAATATTTAAAAATTAAATAGTTTAACGTTTGGTCTATCCAAAAATAAATAATAATTTACCATGTTATTAAGTACTATTGGATAGAAATTTGGTGAATAAAATAATTTTTATTTGATTATTAAACAGACACCGCGGACCAGAAGAGTGGTGGTCACTGAATGCTACAATAGAAGACTGGTTTGACGAAATGGTAGGCGTTGCAAATATAATAAATAGATACGGGGGGGTGAGAATAGAAGATATAAAAGGATTAAGAGCGCCGTTTTTGCGTGTCGGTTGGAATCGACAATTTTTGATGATGTCAGAGTTCGGGTTTGTTTATGACGCATCTATCGTTGCTCCATTTTCTGATCCACCTTTGTGGCCATACACACTAGATTACAAAATACCGCATCAATGCGGGAGTACGGGTCAAATGTGCCCGACAAGATCGTACCCAGGATTATGGGAATTGCCATTAAATCAACTTCTCTCTGGAGTATGTAAATATTTTTAGTTTTATTTTTTATCTAGAATTGCTATGATTTTTCCGTAGTCAATAAAAAATTTTTTTAAGGAGTACACCTGTAGTATGGTAGATGATTGTCCAATAAGTTTGTCAGGAGAAGAAATTTACAACATGTTAATGTTAAATTTTAAAAGACATTACGTGAGTAATCGAGCACCGATTGGTTTACATTTTAATCCAATGTGGTTTCGTAATCCGACAAGCACTTATGCTTTCAGTGTGAGTATAAATTTGTTAATAAAAATAGAATAAAAATTATTATTATTATTATTCTTAATTGTTTGGTGTCGTGATTGTTTTTAGAAATTTATAGACGACTTGCTGCAATTACCGGATGTCTATTTCGTAACAGGTAATCAAGTTATTGATTGGATGAAAAATCCTACGTCTGTTACAGATTTGACGGATTTTGAACCGTGGCTGTGTGAAAAAAAATTCAAGCCCCATGAAATTGCATGCGAGTTTCCAAGTTCTTGTAAATTGCCGAGCCGTGTTTTGAAATCATACAGATACTTAAACACGTGTTTCGACTGCCCCAAGCAATATCCATGGTTAAGAAATGAATTTGGCGCTGAATGAAATATGGACCTTTATAAGTATTGATTGATTCACTATAAATCATAACACGAGTATTTTATCTTTTCTTTAAATTATATCGGAAAATTTATTTACAGAAATTGTATACTAGATGTTGTAATTTGTTTGCTATAGATTGTACATATGTTTTTTTTTTTTTCATTTAAATTATTTTTAAAAAATAATGACAATTATCGCATGTTACTGTTTTTAAATTTGTTTATGTAGATATAAGATTGAAACTTGTGTTCAAATTTTAGTCATGTCAAAACAAATATATTGATCTTAATTATAATTATAATTAAATAATTTGCCGATTTTAAATTAAGTTTTATTAACAGAATAGCTCATACCTTAAATAAGGATTATTTTTTTTTTTATTATGATAATACCTCGAATATTTGAAAAATAAACCAAAGAACATTTGTTGATTATCATAGAAAATCAACATAGTATTAATATTTCACTTTTAATTGATAATAAAAATAAAAAAAAATTTTTTTTTATTTAAATATTGAAAAAATAGGTAAGTAATAAATTATTTGTAATCGTATATTGGAAAATAGAGTAAATTACAAGTTTAACTATCTTGTTGTATGAAAGGATTTGGTATAGACTCCATTCCATCAACAGGGCAAATAAGTACAACAGAAGTACCTCTACATACAACTAGTCCCAGCATTCTGGTGTCCTGATTAAGCTTGTAAGGATCGTCAGGGTCTGAAAAGAAATTCAATTCAATAATTTGTAAGTACAACTGAGTAAACAAATATTTGTTTATTCGTAAAATGATTTATAATTTAATAAAAATACCTCTTAGATACTCGGTGGTATTGTCAAGAACGAGATTCAACAATGGATCATAGCCTTTCAAGATACCAGCAGCTTCTCTTCCACCAGCAAATTTAACTCGTATATTTTTCTCAAGGTATTTTGACAAGTCTAAAATACTTTCTTTCCTCTTTTTTTCCTTGTGATCTGCGGTTTGTTGCTGAAAATAAAATTATAGAATTCATAAATATTAATTTTATTTTGAGGTTATCACGCGTCTTTTTGATATAAATTTACTTTAAAGTCATCGAGTATTTAAATTTAAAGTTACTCTTTATTTAATTTAGTTTATTAAAATATATGAGTTGATAATTGTGTAATTAATTTATTTTCAATACTTACAGACATATTTTATGAATTCCGATACTTATTTGTTGTCGTAGGTTAAACGTCTTATGCGGCTTTATATTGTTATTATTATTTTACAAGCGGGTAGAAATTTCCTATTATGTCACTTGGAGCAGCACTGAAGTATACAAAAGTTTTCGCGCAAATTTCAAAATACCTCGCTGGTTTTTAAGTATAAGAAGAGCTCACTTTAAAAATTACAGTAAAATTACAAATGCCAAAATTGAACAATTTATTAAACGAAAATTGTTATTAATGCTTTGTTTTTTATTTGACCGTAACTTTTTCTTACTCCTCAAATTTTTTATTTTGTATGATTGAAAACGACAAAATAAATATCAGGAGTGATACCTGTATACATGTATACACATTGTTAATGAATTAACAAAAGAAAAAAAAACACATGAAGTATATATAAATAGTATATAATACATGATCAGATGCTCGATGACATATAACTTTCCACATATCAAAGGTTTTTATCATACACTGAAAAAAAAAATTCTTGACTAGAGGGTAAATTATTTTGGCTCAAGAAAATATTAAAGAAGATTGAAAATTTCGTGAATGAAATCAAAGTTTCTTGAGCCAAGAAAATTTCTTCTTGCTCCAAAATAACTTTTGTCTTCCTTAAAATTTTCTTGGTGCAAGAAGTTTTTTTTTCTGTGTAGAAATTTTTTCAAAGAGTTTACGCGCGTACTCATTGTTACAATTTTTTTTGGCACCTTTATCTCTCTATAACGGCCAACAAACAATATTTGATTACACAAAATTTTCCTAGGGCTACTTGTAATCCCCGTAAGATCTGCACATTTACTGGCTCGGAGTAGGTTGACGCGGTAAATTAATTTATCGCTTTATATATATATATTGATTGAATTTTATTTTCAATTAATATTAACATATATTCTTAATTTTTAATCGCTTCAAATTATTTTAATGTACCAATGGAGTCTGTAAAATCTGTTTATTTTTTATCTTACGTATTTATGACCATATCCTTCAAAAGAGGACACTGTTATATAAATCATACAAATAAATCTGACGATATTATCATACTGCACTGAAAAAAAAAAAAAAATAAAAATTATGTCCAGACAAGGATTTCTTGACTTCTTTACTCAAGAATTTGTTAAAATAAAAAATTTAATATATTAAATAAAAATTATTTAAATCAATTCGACCTCTTCTTCAAACAAAAAGTACACTCTCGGAATTTTTAAAGTGTCAAGAATATTAAATTTTAATAGAAATGTTTTTTTTCTCAGTGTGCTAAAAGTAAATAGAGTATTTATTCATCCTCAATTGATGCGCGTTAACAAGCTGGCTTAAATTAACAAGTAAAAGTCATAACTTAACCATCAGAATAAACAAAAACGAAAATTAACACGGTTTTTTATCGCCATCGCAATGACAGTAGTCCAGAATTTCTGATTCATTCAAGTCACATTAGTTCTCAAGATTTGTACCGCCTACTTCTTAACCAAAGGCGGGTCCTATCTCTATGACTCAGTACCGTATCCCGGTATTTTTTATCATTATTTTTCTCATCTGGACCACAAACTTTGTCCATAATCTTGAACAAGCCAATCAACGTCCAACTGTATAACAAAAAATCTTTTATGAGCTCAGAATATCAATGGTTACAACCTGGTACCACAAAGTAAAAGATCTAGATATATCTTCAGAGAAGAAATAGTTTTGTGACCCCCGGTGGGAAGCTGTAGAGAACTTACAACAACTTTAAAAATTTATTTTTATTATCAGAGATTCCAATTAACGTCCAATTCCCTCTTGTTGTCTCATACTGAGTCCTCGAGCTTCTAAAGCTAACTTTTAATCAAGACTTGTTTCTCTCCAAGTTTTTCCACTTCCACTTCCACCTGCAATCATGCAATCAGGTAGTCAGGTATGAATCTGTTGGGCTCTCATTATCTTTAGCTACGTACCTGGGAGGCGGTGGTAAGATCGACACGACAGAGACTGAATCTAAGTGAGCTCTGAAGAACAGTATTACGGAGGTTCATACGAGCTTACTCCGATCTCGCTTACCAGACAAACAGACTACGCGTACGCGGTCGTTCAATTAAAAACATTTATTTTTAATTGGATATTTATCAACTCTTCGCTTCCTTTTTTAATTTATCTTCTTTGACAGATTTATTTATTAATCCAAGTTCAACTTTTATTAAATTGCAACAACAATGGATTTATTTTTATTGCTGTTATTCAATAAATTTTAACTTCAATAATTACTATCACGCGGGTAAATATTGTTGTCAAAGGTGTAAACACCACGGAGTCTGAGGAAGACTCTGAAGAAGAAGAAGAAGTGGAGGAAAGTGTTAAAAGCTTCTTTTGGTTATTAATTTATTCCATCGTAAAGTGAAAGTATTGGTGTGTGTAATTATTGTGAAATGTTTTTTGAACAAGCTTGGATGGATAACAATATTTATACTTGTAATATTAATACTAATACTAATGATAATAAGAGAAAAAGTAATCTCTCGTCATGTTCGTTGTGGTTAGCAGTTATTGTTTTAACAGTGACAATAAGTGAGCATGTGGTACCAGTTGGGTCCTCGCGAATTAGCGGACTGTACGTGGATAACGGACAGGACCAAACGGTTGTTCACAGGGTGCTGACCAAAAGGGAAAAACGAGACGTCGAGCACGAAATATTGAACTTGCTTGGGCTCCCGGACAGACCTCGCAGTGTTATCGGTAAGGTACCGCAGGTGAAGAGGTCAGCGCCCAAGTTTCTGCTGGATATTTATAAAAATGCGCTTGGTGAAGACGAGGATGGGAAACCGGTCGCAACGAGGCTACATAAAACCGACGGGGAGTTCGACCTCACTGGCCAGGATCTCAGGGCCATCGACCAGAGCGATGTCATCATGACATTCGCTGCGCACAGTTGAGTACTTCCTTCAATCTTCAATAGTTTATGTTTTATTATTGCCATTGACATTTTCTGTTTTTAAGCATGCAAATATAAATCATTTTTTGTGTGATATTTTATATTTATAGACAATAATGAGAGATGGAGTTGCACCAACTTGGAGTTGTTTTTCATAGATGTAGAGAAAGTTGTACACGCAGATGATATATGTAATAAAATAATGATAAATGTTGTTATGTAATTTAAAATTTTCTTGAGCAATATGATACATACAACACAACCGCTGAATTTTCTTCGACATTAATTTACATACATTCATGAATACATAAATCCATTAGAGATAAATTTTAAGTTTATTTGCCTTTGATGACTGAGATTGAATAAATTATTATTGATTCGCGGTTTTCTCTCCAGTAAACTGACATAAAATAAATAATTGCTGGTGATTGAAAGAAAAAAAAAAACATTATCGTGATACAAGACATAGTATATGTATTCTTGGTTAATTGTTTAAATAAATATATATTCCGCGTGGTGATAATTTGAATAAAATTATCATAATTTATAATAAATAATTATTGTTTGTTGCTTAAATATTGAGCCGTTAAATTTATCCTCATGGATACGCGATAGTTATAATACTATATAAAATAATAAAAAATTAAAAAATAATCACACGTGGCTTTATGTGTGCATAATAAATTCACGAGCTATAACCATTATTCATTCACCTTGTGTCTTGTACACTCTGTCCTCCCTTTTAAAAAAAATTTCACTCGGAAGATAAATAATTCGATAAAAAATCGCTTATAAATCAATTCTCTTTTATTCAATCAGACAAATCATTAAGTTTTGTATTTTATTGTTTGCACAAGTAATAAAAAATAATAAACATGTCAATTTAAAAAAAAAAAAAAAAAAAAAAAAAAAAAGGCAAATGTATTGTGAAAAAATATATACTAAATATGTACATTTATATAGCGAATAAAGCGTTGGATAAGTTTAACGTTTCAATCGATTTAATAGAGTTGTTTCATGTGTGTCACAAATTTGGAAAAAATACAAATTTTTTTACACGAAACGAAATTTTTCTCGAGTGAGAATAATTTTATTTAATTAAGTGAGTTAAAAAAAAATTTTTACTTCATCTAAGTCAATTTTGGTCCTTCTATATATCTTTATAGATATGTGATGATGTATAAGCTTGCTTATTTAATGTGAGTAATATGTATAAGTAAAAGGATCCGGAAATTCTTGAGATGAAGATCGACAAGCGTGTTAGATATTGATCTTGCGGCTTTGGCGTTAACCGAAAATAGAGCTATTTTCGGTGGAACGTCTGCATCATCGATGACCAGGGAGATGAGAAGAGCCTTGGGGTGGGTTATTTGGGTGTATCCACACACACGTTAACTTTCAAACTAATAAAAGGTAAAATGTCGGCAAGTTTATAAAGAAGGTCCACTACAACATATATCTCGGTCGTAATATATTATCCAGCAGAGTTCGGGCGTGTAGTGAGTTGTATACGGCGAAAGGGTTAGGGAATAAAATAAAAAAATTTTATAAAAAAGGAATATCTAAAGGAGGAAACGAGGATTAAAAAGAAATAATAAGTATAAATAATAAAAAAAGACAGGAATATTGAGTCAATATCTTTTCCTTAATAGCTCGGGGTCTTGAAACATAAAAATGTCTCAACTTGCTCCTGCAAAGGTTTTTTTTAGTTGGTGGGTCTTTAAAACGCTTTTTATCCGTCGTTTTTTGACTCTTTAACTCTCAACGGAGATTAAAAAAAATATCCAGTATAATTCGAGGTAGAAAGAGAGAGTTTAAAGTTTAAAAAATGAAAAAACAAAAAGCATCATCTGAGAGAGATCCGAGAAAACGGTCCCGGGGGCCGAACTATTCGAGACCACCCTGAGTGCCTGAGAGAGCTCGTCCGGGTCTCAACTCACCTTTTGGCTCTTAGCTCTTAGCTCTTATACAGCAATCAGGTGGTGTGGTGTAGTCGTCTACCCGGGAATAAGAATGCGACCATACAGCAGCAACAGCAGCAGCAGCTACGGCAGAAAAAGAAATAAGAAAAACTAAAAAATTTTTATGCTCTTGTCTTATCCGAGCTGGAAACATTAGGCATTACTTAGGCACCACCCGGGGGAGCACCGTCCGGTTTGCTTGCTTTCTATATTCGGTCTCTTTCGAGGGGGCGGTGGTCAGCTAAGCGGCATATGAAACACTGAACACAGGATGATGGGAACCAACTAGCCTCTGACGATTTCACGCTGCGAATCCTCATCCGCAGCTCGTTATGTGATTAGGGACTTTTAGAATCTGACCTGCTGCATCATGATATGCTCCTCTTTGTTTTATCTTCTTTATTTTTATTTTATTTTATTTTATTTCTCTTCTATGCGCTGTGTTATTGTGGCTATGATTTATTAATTTGCCAAATGACCATATAAATCACCGTTACATTTGAATTTAATCATTACAAAAGATCATAATAAAAATCATTTTATTGTTTTATTGCATTTGATTTGGGTCTTTATTACTCAGGCTAAATGGATGGAGCGTGTTGTGAAACTCCAAAGATTGCACACCACGTTTATGTTATGATTGAGCAACAACCATACAATGTAACGTGAGACAGAATACATGTGTAGTTTTATTTTTTATTGTGTATCCATAGTTGAATGAAAATTTATTTATCAATGGTCTTTTAATCTGCTGTGAATGAAAGCATTGAATTGATACTTGGGAAACTTCAAATCTGAAGAATGTATCTTTTTTTTTTTTTTTTTTTTATTAAATATAATTGGAAGTTAAATTTATGGAAATAAAATTATTCTGATACGGATTTTTTGCTTACATCGTACCTATCAACATCGGATTTCACAGTAAATTTAATTCTCTTGGATTATAAGCTTGATATTCATTTTCAAGTTCGAGTATTAAAGATATACTTCAACATAACTGATTTAATAATCATATTTTATAAATGAGCTTGGATAATTTAGTTAATAGTAGGGAATTGCTTAAAATTTTTGTGAACCTAAAATTATATTGTATATAATTTTAAATCTTCACTCGTTCGGAAATCTCTAAAAATTTACATAAATAGTGATTTATATCCCGAGTTTTACGTTAAAAATTTTTTATTTAAAAGTTTTATTGCAATTCTAAAAAAAAAAAAATATCCTTTGATTTTCACCAAAAATATTTTTAAAGTTGTCCAATTTTAATTAGTGAATTTTCTAATAAATGTTTCAATTCGGAATATATAACAGATATTTTAGACTAAACTAACAATAGAACTTGTTGTCTGATTTGCAGATCATCACGTTCCTGGTGTGCGGCACGAGCGTGGCAAAAGGCTGTGGTTCGACGTGTCTGAGGTGCCCCCCGGAGAGCACATAATAGGCGCCGAGCTACGACTCTATCGTACAATGGAAATTAAACATCGGAGAAATCGCGGTTCACTTATGGTCACGGTGTATCGCGTTATACGCGCTGATGAGGGGTATGCATATTTAACTCTCCTTTTTAATATCTCAATAACTTTATTTTTAACTTTATACTTTCAATTACTTCCACTTTGCATATTTTCAAAACACTAATTATTTTTAGATTTTCTATGTAAAGATTACTCTTTCTGTTTTGCAAACAACTCGATATTGAAAATAATTTCTTATTACCGGATATTTAAAAAACACAATTTACAAAAATAAACCATTGAATTTTAAAAATAAGAACAAAACACCCATGACGAAATATTTTCTATTCAATGGATACCAAACTAGACCTTTTTACCTTCGGCTACCAAGAATTAGCTATGATTTTAAACATCATCTTGTTCTTCCTAATTAGACGTTCGAACATTGTAAAAAAACCTTCGAAATGTCTATACCTGAACCATACCTCTATCTCTTAGAGTTTTGATCTAAAGACCAAGATTTGATCTTGTGAAAGTAATTTCAAGGTTTTGCCCACCGACTGTCAATCACCTAAACATCTTTTTTTGGACCCATCAAAATATAGACAATAACAAATATATATATTTATCAAAATATTTGAATAAATCCTAAAAATGGTTTAGTTACAGTTGAATAACCTTGTCCTTCACCTTTCGTGTGGCCGCTCAAAAAAAAAAAAAAGAGAGCAATGAATAGTCTCGTCAAAGTAATAACACGACAGGAAACAATATTCCGTAAATTGAAATAAATTAACCAAGCAGACACTCTACTCTACTAGTCGGTAGCTCAACTATATATATACCGATGTCGTTCAAAATAATTTATCCTACGCAGTTGATGTACACGCATTGTTACGTCTTTGTCTTAATCTTCGTCTCAAGTCTTTGAGTCACTTGTAATATTAATGCGCAACATTTAATTAACGGTGTAACGAGACACGACGGCGACGTTTCTATTATTTTATACGTATATTGTTGTGTGCTCTTTATTTTAACTTGCCTAGAATTAATCTCTTATTTTATCGGTACTGATTTTAATTAAAAGATGATGTTATTTTATGCTGCTTAATTTTGTAATCCTTATGAAATACCTTTCAGATGTTTATTTATAATTAAATTCCTTTGAAAAAATAATTATAAACTTGTGCGAGCTTAAATTGTTTATTTATGCACCTAATTGACTATTTTTTTTATAATTATTTATTTATTTAGGAAGAAAGAATTACAATATGTTGATTCAGTCAACACGACTACTGGAAAGGAAGGTTGGCTAACGTTAAATGTTAGCGCGGCACTTCAACACTGGGTAAATAATCCTGAAGGAAATCGTGGGCTTTATCTTTCCGTTCATCCGGCAGATCGGTCTGGTAAGATTTTTATTGTTATTATTATTAACAAGAAAGATCTAAACAAATACTAATATTTTTTCTCATGTCATTTAAAAGAAGAATGTTTGGTATTTCTTCAGGGAATTATCAATGAGTCATATTTTTTGTCCATCTATTAAAAACTAATAAACATTATTTTTTTTTTTTACAATAAGTAAATTAACTATGCTAATTAATTCACACGGGAATATCAAAATTAGCATACCAATAAATAATGAAGATTTGTTGTTTATGAAAATAAAATTTTAATATAATAAAATATATTTTTAAATTTGCCTAATAGATTTAAAAGTAAATGTTTGTAGATGACAAGACGATAAAACTCAATGAATTAAATTCCGCCACCGAATCACCGGAGAAAGAGAGATATAAGATAACAAGTTGAGGCAACTTTATACCGTCAACTTTATATATATATACATATATATACAAGATACGATGGGATGGATATATAATAAAGTAAAAAGGGGCTTTGAGGATCGTAGATACTATTTAGGATCAGATAAGAAAGTGGATACACCTGTTGAGTGTATCCGCGACTTAACTCGCGACGCAATCCCACTCATTGTTTATATGCCTGAGTAAAATCCTATCCAGCATCCTGTCCAGTTATTTTTAAACTCTCAATCATTGACCTTAACAATAATAAACAAACTCACTTGTACTGCACTAGTATATAGTTGTATAGTTTTAAATAAAATATACAAATATATACGAGTTTTAAATGAATTCAAGTAACGGGTTGTACGAGAAGAAATCAATTTGCCACACCTAAACAATTTTGTCTCTACTCTCTCATCGATCTCTCTACTTTGTCTTTCTTGTAGATATCTTCAGAGCTACCTCTCGTTATTCGCGTTGCTTCTGTATATATAGATATATTCGTTGATGAACCCCTCCAGGTGACTTCTGGTAACCGGTTTACCTTTGATCATTCAATATACCTAGACATCGGTACACAATATATCCTATAAGTCACATACTGAAATATACCAATATTGTTGTGATATTTATAAAAATAGACGCTTCTAGAAAAATAACAATCACGGTAATGATATTATTAACCGATTTTATTCTTCAATTCAATGTATGAATAAAAATAATTTTCATTTCTTTTTATGTGCTCCACAATATGCATTACTTGCATCGTTTAAGCTAGCTACATACTTTCGAAAGCTAAAATCTTTCTTATTTTATTTTATCGGCTCAAGTATTCGAGGTATTTAAATATCACACTTTTATTGCCACCCACGTATTTAGATAATTATTCATTTTCTCACACAGTTTAATATCTTATCGAAATTAAGTGGTGCTGAGAAAGATATCTCTTTAATAAATTAGAAAATAATTTAGATTTTTAATTTTCTTCAAAATTTCATATCATATGAGATACTTTTTCTTTTAAAATTTGATGACTCAAAAAAATTTTCTTTTCAATATATATCAATACTTAAATGAACACAATTAAATTTTTATTTATAAACTTTTTTTAATAAACTTCTTATAAAAAAATTTTATATAAGTTTTGAGTTATAAAAAAATTAGAATTAATTACCATTTGCCAGGTGTGATATATAATTGAATGTTAGTATCATTAATATACATATTAATAATTAATAACTAACTTGACTTATGTATATATATAAATATAGATTTATAAATAGGTATGTTAAATGATTTTATAAATAAATGTTATAGTATATTATTAAAAATTGCGTATGAAAATTCGTCGAAGAGAACGTATCAAGCAGTATAAAAAACCGCAAGGGTGTTGAGAGTTAACTCTTAATAGCTGATATTTATATGAAGGTTGACTATTAATAACCGTAACCATGCACATATGACGCTTTGAAATACTTGTAATTATTCCTTACACATATTTCTATCTGATGATAATAATAATAATAATAATAATAATAATAATAATAATAATAATAATAATAATAATAATAATGATAATAAAATGTTTAAAGCGTAAATATTATGTGGTGTATAATTATAATGCAATTTCACATGAAATAAACTATAAGATTATAAACTATTATCTGTAATCTCAATTATAGGCTTAAGACTGCTCAGGAGAGATAAATAATACATCAATCACTGTTATTTTTTAAGTGAGACTAACTAATGAATGGAGAAAAATTGTAATTTATATGCCTTAATTTGACATAATAATTTGATTATAGTGCATGAAATGAGGCCGGAAGACGTTGGCATCGTTGGATTTCGCGGCGATGTCGACAAGCAACCGTTCATGGTTGGATTCTTCAAAAGCTCGGGGATACGTGAGAAAAAAGTTCGGCAAAAACGTGACGCGAGGAGACGAAGGAAAAGTGATGCTTCACCACTTGATTATCGCAATCCGTATACGGGTAATAAATTTTATTTTTATTAAATAAAAATGACTGACGTAATTCAATAATGTTTAAATTAATAAAAAAAATTTTTTTTTTTTTTAGATCCGACTATTTATAACAGTCGTACATGCAGAATTCAAACGCTGTATGTTAGTTTCCGAGATCTGCAATGGCAGGTAATTTATGATAATATCTTTAATAAATGTATGAACTAGTTTGCATGACTGTTATTAATTAATTTAATTACTTATTTTTTCGTCATTTATCAGTGATTTTAATTAATTATTTAATTAATGAATTGAATATCTGTAGTAAAGTATAAATATTTATTATTATTTTTTTTTCAGGATTGGATTATAGCTCCGGATGGATACGATGCTTATTATTGTAGCGGAGATTGTAATTTCCCATTAAACGCTCATATGAATGCTACGAATCATGCGATAGTGCAGACTCTCGTCCATTTAGTCAGCCCAGGAAAGGTCCCTAAACCTTGCTGCGCACCAACTAAACTTTCACCAATTTCAGTTCTTTATTTCGTCGATGAGAGTAACGTCATACTTAAAAAATATAAAAATATGGTCGTGAAAAGCTGTGGATGCCATTAGATTTTATCTTTTGTTTAATAAAAATTTACAAAAAATGAAAATTGAATATTAAGATAAATAGAATGTGACATTTATAAGCGTACTTGATGAAAATTTGTTTAGTATTTATTTGAAACATTTATTCAACTCTGTTAATTAAGCGATTCAATTACCAAATTTTTAGACAATCCAAACATAAGATAATTAGGTAGGTCAGGTGCACTGAAAAAAAAATTAACTAGATTCAAGAGAAAAATTCTTGAACTGAGAAAATAATTTTGAAGAGTTTCATTGTCTTGAATCAAGACAAAAAATTCTTGAATCAAGTAAAATTTTCTTAAATCAAAAAAATTTTCTTAGTTTAAGAATTTTTCTACTCAAATCAAGAAAATAAAATTCTTCAAAATTATTTACTTGATTCAAGTAAATTTTTTTTTGTGTGACAAGATTTTAAATAATTACGGTAGTAGCTAGTTTTTTTTTTAGCAATATCAGTGTTTCAATCTGTCGACGAGTGTAGGACAAGGGCTTTTTCGAAGAATGTTCCATTTTTTATCTCTCCACTATAAAATGAAAGTGGTTAGCAATAGGGTCTAGATGTGAAAAGAGCAAAATTGCGAGCACACAGAAAGTACAGTAACTACAGCACTCAACTGGAGGATCCGTTACAGCCAAAGCGAAAAAGCGAAAAAAGAAAAAAAAATACCAATAAATGTGTATGCGAATAATAGAGGATGCGAATAATAGAGGATGCGAATAATAGAGGTAGCTATTATATGAGGTGAAGGACGAAACAAAGCTAGATTTAATTGTTGAAAGAATTCTACCGTGAATTTTGTGTGGACGACGAGAGATACGAGGTACAACGAATTTTATAAAATTTCAAGGGTCGCTATGGACGACAGCAAATGAATAAATAGTTGAGTTTGATCGCTAATTAAAGAAGGGGACAAAATAAAGAAGGGAATAAAATAAAAAAAAAGGCCATTCGGCAGCCGAAATGGAAGTAGATTTCATATCATTAAATATTAATTAAAATTACAAATATCTACACCAGAATACATTACAAAGAAATCTATATCATATTTATACTATAATACAGCCAATAATTATAATAATAAAACGGCTGCAACAGTAAAAACTGTTTCTTTTAAATCACCTAAAATGAGTGATATTGAAGCTATTTCCACTTCTAATTATATTAGTGAAAATTAAAGCTTAATAAAAGAGCTTTACGATGCATTTCACCGAATTTCGATATCTTATCTAGTTCAGTAATTATACCAAGTTGAAGTAGTAGAAACAGCAATTTTTACGATTTTCAAAATTTCAAAATCCTGTCATTTCCAAATTACTCGCCCGATTAAGCACATCTTCGAACTTAACCTTGGTATTTATCGATAGATGAAGCACGTTGAGTTTGAGAAGAATCGGATATAAATTGAAAATGCTATCGTGCTGACAAGCCGCGTTATATCGTATAAATACATACATATATAAACTTTTGAACGAACTACATTTTCTGACTCAGCTCGACAAACTGCTACAACAGTTAGATTTTTAAGAAATCTACTAATAATGGAGGGAATAAGCACACATGGAGAGATACGTAGAGCCTTTTAAAACACTGAATAATAATACAAGTAAAACCCCGATGATTATTATTATTATTATTATTGAAATATTTATTTAAATTTAACAATTACTGGGTGTCAAGTTGACTGCACAGTATTTATTTATTTTGAAAAATTATTAGTTAATCACTAACATTTTTTTCTCTTTATCATTCGTTTATTGCCATGTAGATTATAGATTATTTTTTCAAATTTATATTATAATGCTGTTTAAAATATTATTTTATTTTATTATTTAATAATTAATGTTAAAATATTATTAAGATTCTATTATAAATTACGTATACCAATATTTTTAATTTTATTTGATACTTTATAGATAATTTTTTCCTAAATTAAAATAAAATTAATTATAACAAAAAAATTATCATCATCAGGATATACAACAGTGATTACGATGTAAATAAATTCTCAACTATGTAAATACGTTTTTTATAAACGTTAAATCTATGTATTATTTAAAATGATAAAATTTACTTTTAATATGTAAAAATTAAATTTTATATTTTTACTTCAATAGCCTAAATATTTACATTGAATAATAATTAATAATTAGTCAACAACAAATTTAACTTGAAAATAATTATTTATTAAAACATTTCTTACATAAATTTACATTATTAAATACAGATAGGTATAAATAAACAATCAAATTTTATCCTGAGTTTAATTATGAGCTCATATGTAATTTTGAAACACAGTGTTTAACACACATGTTCAATTATTGTGATGATCATAGGTATAAAAATATATACTATTCTCAAGGAACACAATTTGATATTACCTATTAATACTCAACCCTTTTTGAGATCATACAAAAATTTCCAAAAGTAATGATAAAATAAATTCATGCCTATTGTGAGCAAGTAAGTGATGCCATCAGTAATTCCATTTTATTCAAAAAAGATTTCCCCTCCATTTTATCCCATTGGACTTCTTTGAATGGCCCGCACTGGTGTTCCCATTTACGTTCACGTACAACTTGCCCCGGATAGAAATCCGTTCTCGGGGAATGCGAAGTCGAGACTTGGACACCATTCTGAGCATTACAACGAACTGCGATCATACGGTCGCCATTTGGAGAAGCTAGAAGACAGCTTTTGGCATTGCCCAGTGGTTCAACAGGACCTAAACCGAGATGCGAGCTGTTTGCTAAAAATTGCCAACCCATACATTTGGCTAAATTTTGTGCCGCCAATATTTGATGCTGAGTTATCTAAACATAAATAAAAAAAATACATAAATATTTTTGTCGTCATAAATTCAAAAATAAAAAAGAATAAATAAAAAATGAATAATTTTAATAATAACTTGACAAAGCAGCAGATTACGAAGTTCTTGTGGCTCATAGCTCATGTGCATCACTCTGCCGTCTCTGCAGACACATTTGAATGTTTTTTCGTAAACATAAATGGCCAGGGAAGTACGACAAACAGTATCATAACCCTCAGTCCATATATTTATTTTAACACAGGCGAGTGTCGGTGTACTCAGTGCATTCCAGTGCGAAACAATTATCGGATCTTTTACATCTTTGGCGATCGAATCCAATACAAAGGCAGCGCGTCTTCTCATTATGTAATGTTGAGTTTGTTTGATTATTTGCTCTAGGATCGTTTGACTCTTGGTCATTTCCACAAGTTCGTAGCGATCAGCAGCGGTTGGCCCAGCAATACAGCGGCGTTTGCTCGGCCAAAATTGACCCGACGACGGATGGGGAAAGGAGTGATGGCTATTTTTATAGTGAACTTCTCTTAGCAATTGATGAAGCGAGTGCTCAAGGACGTGGTCATGTTCAGCGGTGTTTGTTGAAGTTGAAGGTGCGGAGGTTGAGGTTGACGTAGATGCTGATTTTTTATTATCAGTAGCGCTGTGACCATGACACAGTGCAATTACTAAATGAATATTTGGAAAAATAGATGCTGTTATTTGGTTACCGACTACCAAATGTGGAATTGATGCATGTGACTGTATCGCTTCGCGCGCTAATTGGTTGAACAATTCCTTGCAAAATAATACATTTTGCGCAGCTTCTAGCTTTTGTTGCCAGTCCATGTCGCTGTCAGGTTTTGCTGTATTCGAAGGCGATAAATTTAAATTGAAATTGCACAAATCTTCTTGGTCTTTTTGGCACAAAACTTTTATGTAAGCAACGCCTTGCAATTCACTTGGAATAGACACCCGGAGTGATGAGGTCTTTGGTGGTGATAATAATGTTCCTGATTGGCTAGCAGATGGAGAGCTTGATTTCGGAAGGCTTGTTGCATTTTCATCGTCGTCTGCTTTAGTTACCTCAAATATTCCCGCTTGAGCATATTTAGAGCCAGCTGTTCGGTAACTTAAATCACCAATTATTGAGTTGGATACTTTTTTCAAACGCCAATTCTGACGGAGTCGCAGTAACTCAACGTGGAACTCAGAAGTTGATCTATTCGCGGCTACGTCATTCCGGCTGTTTTTTAGCCGTTCAACAGCACTGAACAAGACACTGGTTGCACCCTCCAATGCTTTTTTACTTGCGTAAACATGAGCCATTGTCTTCTCTTCTCTTGTAGGATTTAAAGACGCAACTGGATCCAGTACCATGTATCGTTTCTCTTTTACCACCGCCAGGACATCATGTAAAACACATATCTCTGTATATGCATTTCTATTTTCAAAAGAAAAATTATTTATTAGAATTTAGTAAATAAAAAAAAAGCAGTCACTTAACCATTTTTTAATTTTTTTTAACAAATAAATTTTTTCCAAAAAATTATTCTAAAAAAATTGCATTTTTTATTTTTTTAAATTTCTACATGTTAATTTTTTTTTCTACTTTTTTTTGCCATAATTTATTTATTTAAAAAAATTCTTAAAATTATCAAATATCTGCTAAATTAATTTTCATGATAGGATAGTGAACTAACGTACTTTAATTTTGTCCTTATACTATCGAAGGGTAGCAAAGAACTTTGAGACGAATCTTTGGAATCTTGTTTATTATAGTTTTCACCATCTTCCCCAGCTTGATCATCATTTATGTCATCGGTATCCGAAGTTGAGGTATTTGTTTTGTTGAAATCTATTTTTTGTGCAGTTTTTGCTAAATTCTCCGAGAGTGTAAGTGGTCTAAAATGCAAAACAATTATAACAATAAAGGTATACATACATACAACAAGGTTATACATTGTGAAATATAACTTTTACTAATAATATGTATATGCATAGATATTTTAAAATTTATAAAAATAATCTTACGTTTGATAAATTTCTTGTCCATCGTAAGTGATTTCTTGAATTTGGTTTTCACATGGAGCTTCCACAGAAATGCTTATTGATGTCACCATTGTAATTACAAATTTAGTTAATAACCTTTACACTTTACACTCCCGATATTATAATTAGTTTGCAAATAAACAAGAAAAAAATTTATTTCTTTGAATAATTTAAACCGTTCAAAGAAAAATCGGCGCATAAATTATTGATAATTTGCAAAAATTCAGAAGTTTATTGACATAAATAAACTTTTTATCGACTATCAAATTGTAAGCGTATAAACAACACATAAATACATGACTAAAAACATTGAACCTTTCAAAGAGATTTTGACTCTAATGCCATCTACATATACATGAAATTGAAAATTTTAACACTCGCAAAACTTAATAAAGTAATCAATTAATTTCTTGAGTATCAAATACTTGGAGTAATAATCAAAGTACTGCATGAAATGTTAAGTAAAATTTCATTTTAAAATATAAATCTATTGATGACAGAAAAGTATTGAAAAAATAATTAATCATGCACTTGTTTGCTCACCATGTCAAGAAATGTCTAGAAGGCTCCACGCTTAGCTAGTATTTTCTGAAAAAAAAATTTATTTAATTATTAAACAATCTTTTTTTTTACATTTATCAAATGTAATTTACTTACCTTGACAGTCGTTATAATCTTGACTTCAACTTCGGGAAGAAAGATTTTGAACACTCTCGAACACTTCACTACACTTTACTAACTTTACTCACATATTTATAACTGTCACTAAGGAACTTGACACTGTAATGATACTAAAGTTAGCCGACGTTCAAAAATTTTTCTATTTTTTTTAACAATTAAATTGCAAGTAAAAAAATACTTTTAAAAAATTGCACGTATAATTTTTCAAATTTTCTACATGTGAAATTTTTTCTTTTAATTTTATAGTAACAATTTTTTCAATAAAAATAATTATAAAAATTTTCAGATGTTGGCTAATTAAATTTTCATGACACTGTAACAATTATTTTTACATCACTGTTATAAATAAGCAAACTTTTTTTTTAACAATTAAAAAACTTTTAGCAATCTCAGATGTATTAACATCGCAGTTTTTACTATGCGGCTTCGCGAAATAATTCACTACTCAACGAAATCAGTCCTTCTAATACTTCTAATCTGATAAATCTGATACTTGACTTCCCGGCCAATCAGATGCCGATACATTGCCATAAGAGTAACAACCAGTCAAAATGGCCGACAACTTCTATAATGTTTTTTTTAAAAGTGTAGTATTTACATAAAAACTACTAAGGAACTAATAAAATAATTTTGACAAAAAAATAGTATATTTAGAAAAAAAAAAAAAAAATAATTGAAAATATTTACATAAACATTATTGAAATTTATTTATATGAAAACTTGAAATTGTTTTACTTTCAATGTGTTTAAATAAAAATTTGTCACCTACTTTGACGATTATTAATTAATTATAAACAAGTAGTCACTTTTTTAATTTCATTTAATTGATAATAATATTTATTGTTAGTAAATTAATTTCATTAAAAAAAATATTTAAATTTCAATTAGTTCCATCGCGCATTAACAGATACCAGCTCAGTTGCGGTAAAGGACTCGAGGTGAAGTAAGTAACAGCAAAGAGCAGAAACTATAACACCCGAGCGCGATGAATCGATAGTACGCTGGCTCGAGTGCGTTAAATTTTGTCGTTCCAAAATATACAACACAACTATCGACGATATCGTTTCGTTTTTTTTCACAACGATGGTCGGCGAACGTGTGTTCTGTGAACATGGAGTATCATAAAGACTCGTATAATTATTCGCGTTGACAACAGGATTTTGTGGTGATATTATTATCACACTTATCCCATTAACGTACAGAGCGATCTATCTAAATCCATAAATACCAATTATTGCTTTATTTAACAAATATTGTCCTCAAAGTGACAATAGTGTGCTGTGTGTTGATCGTTGAAAAATAGTTTTATTATCAGTGTGTGCTATTTCTCCAAAGAGTGTTGTACATTGTCAAACATCATTGTGTTTATTTATTACTATTATTACAATAATTATTACAGCTATCTTTATTAAGAATACCAAATAAAGTTATCTCAGCAGCGTTTACCAGCCCCGTCAGTCATCCCAAATAATTATTATTTCATAGTAAATATATCGCAAGCAGGTACGCCCATTTACGGTTTCGCATTCCTTATTTTATGTTTAGTTTATTTTTTATTCATTACATACTTATTAGTGATTACTCATATATACCATAGTTAATAAAGAAAATATCTGTTTGCAGTGAGATATGTAGTTTCAGCGAATCACTAATTGATTTTTTTATCAACGATGACATTATGGATATTTGTATAAATATACACCAGGAGCATGTTAATAAAAAGGTATAGTGGCCACGAGGTGGACCTCTCCCTTAGCATTACTTGGATTATCTGTTATATATGTCTATACGTATGTATTTAATACACGTAAGTTGATTTCTCTTCAGCATCGCGGACAGAAGAGAATCGTGCCACTTTGGTTTGGGCGCAAAATCGATAGACGTTCGGTTCACATCATCACATTGTGTGCATCACTAGTTTATCTCATTCTTATTCTCATGAGTAGTTTTATTTATCAGAATTATTCAAAGAATATCTTCAAACTTTTTAATTACTTTATTTATAAATACTTCAACGATTTTTATTATTTATTAGTTTATACACAACTCGGCTTTATACTATAAAAACATAAATTTGTATCATTTACATTGCTTTCATTGATAAAATATTACTCTATACTTATCTCAGTAATTTTATTTTATAATAACATAAAAAATAGCAGACATCTAATACTTTGTGTGTCAATCAGTAATATTTTGATTAAATAAATTTTTTTTTAATTTAAAAATCAAAAATATTGAAAAAAAAAATTATGTTTTTTATAGTCAAATGTCAAAATTGCATCATTCTCGAAAATTTTCATATTAATTACATTATGATGCACTCTAATGCTTAATACGGTAATATAAATATATAAAAATAGTAGTTGCTGTTTAATTTACACGATTTCAAGGCCGTAATGTTATAAGTTTGATGTAATTGCGTGAGGTAAATAACAAGTACTATAAAACTTTTTAATCGAGGTCTATCAGTACTATTTGTGTTAAATAGTTCTACAGATACTAAAAATAATCACATAAATACATGTGTACATAATGTCATCGTTCGATAACTAATTACTCGAATCATATCTCAAAGACCCAGATATTTTATTAATTTTAAGGTAATCGACAATGAAAAAATAAATAAAATAAAATGTATACTTATTTATTTAGTTCTGAGTAATCGCAAGTGATCCTGAAGACAAAGGAATTGAAGATAAAATATATATTACAATGACTAGGTCAAGGACCAGAAAGATTAAAGGCTAGACGGAGTCCAAATTGCTGGATAAAATTTTGAAAGAAAATCAACTGATGATTCTGTGACCCACGTGAATGTGGGGTACGATATCGCGGTTATTCGCGACGAAGCCAAGGTCATCGGTGAGATCACCAGAACCCGGCGAGGAAGCCGTTGCTGCTGAGGAGGAGGAAAGGAATTATTATTACTGCAATAACAGCGATCCAGCGTGTAAAAATTTAAACGGCGTGCCTCAGGCCGAGCTGGCTGTCCATGTTTTCGAATCGATGGACCGTAACATGGGAGACGACCGACGTCCGAAGGGTGGTCCTGGTGATCATGGAGTTACCGATAATGAACACTTCTCCGATGGCTATGACACACGTCAGGTGAGTAATCATTTTACCAATACCTCTTATGCTTGTCTGGAGATAATTAGAGATTAAGTGGACGTTGACATCTAATTATAATAAATTCTGCAAATTATTGACTGGTAGAAAAATAATCAGTAAAAGTTCAAGGACAAATGCCTTGAACTTTTCAACGAATCATCATGTACATTGACAACCAGTTCTGAAGCTGCTTAAGTAAAAGATCGTGCTCGGAATTGCCTATGTACGTGTAATGCTGTGCATTTAAAATCACAGTTTGATGTCGTTATTTTCCAACACATAATCGTGGGTCTCGATGGCTTTCGAGCTTGAGACGTATATATGTGTGTCTATATTGCTGCAGCAATGCCCACTTCCTGTGGGCAAGGTTTTATAATTATTTATTTAACCATCTTGATACACATTGCATTGTATTACATAGGTGCCTTCTTGCACGTATGTATTTTCCTGATTACGCTATTGTGTTTATGGGTGCGTTTATTTTGTCAACATATTGCTGTCGTTAGTGCTACTATTGTCTATTTTATTTATAAAATTTATTTTCAAATGCCGGGATACATCGCTGAAAGAATTACAGGTTAATATTTTAGTTACATTCGTAAGAAATGTAAAATTTGCAACTTTGTAATACTCGAGATGCTGTATCAAGTCACGAGTCATAATAGTATCAAATATTTAGCTGATTTAAACTCAGTAGAAAATTTTTTTGTATACATAATAAAACGTTTGAATTATCTATGGGTTTATTTTTCGAAAAAAAAAATGAAGAATTTATTCTTAAATTGTCGCAATATCAAATCGATAGTCAGGTGACCTCATTATTATGACGAGTATTTGGCTATTGTCCAGATGGACATTTTACTGTCGTCATAATGATAATCCAATGGGATAAAACTTATTTTATTAATGTGTGAAAGTGTTTAACCAATGTTACTGCCAAAGTAAACTTTTATGGTATTATATTAAATTGTCAAGTTAAACATAAATTAAAAATTAAAGTATCATTGAATAACTATTTAATTTTACTAAAGATAACTTCATAATTAGTATTTTCACTTACACAATCCGATTACTATCAGATTATTCATGCTAAAAATTTATAATTCAATCTCTAACTGTATGTACATACTATTAAATTAAGTTTATAAATTATTCATGTAAATATTGCATTATATAGAAATTTGAAATTCTAAAATTCAATTAAATTTTTTATTTATCTTGAAGAAAATGAGTTTTCAGTTAAATTACTTTTATAAAGGCCTCGCCTACAAAGAGT